ATTTTTTTTTTTTTTTGGGGGGGGGGAGGGGCAGCAACAACAAAACTAGGTGTACAAATTGCCAGTAATTGTCTTAAATGTTTCTATTGACAAGACTTGTAGTTAACTGTGCACAATTATGTCCAAAAATATAATATTATTAATGTACATATACCTTCCACAATTCTACTACAGTTTTAGCTGTGTCCTGCTGAAGCAGTGGTTCTAATTTGCACGGAAGGTTTTTCAGGAGTGTTTTTCGGTCATCCCCCATCAAACTTGTCCAGTCCCAAGTCCCAGACCCTCTGCCATCTGCATTTCGTTTTTCCCAAACTGAAAATGATACCCCGCAGCTGTTTATGGCTTGTGTTAGTTTGTCGAGATGGATTTTTTTCTTCCCAGTAGGAGTTAGGAGACTTTCTTTTTCTTGCCACATAAAAATTGCCACATAAAAATTGCCACATAAAAATTGCCATATAAAAATTGCTCGTGTAGACGGGGCTTAACCTCAGGTCTGGCCCGATATAAGCCAGTCAATAAGTTTATGATTTTATGACGAATGACGAACTAGAAGAAAAACTGTTCAGAATTGCTTGTATCACTGTTAGAGTTTTTCTCTCAATTTTAGTTTTGAAACAGATTTAATTTGCTTTAGGTTTGTCTACACAGTAAAAAAAAAACCTCCTGTGGATTAGGAACTTAGCGACTCCTTGAAATCCTCCGCACTTCATCATACGTAAGCCCTAAGGATGCTCAGTTGCAGTTGAATTTCCAATGCGATGCGATCGGTTTACGCTTCTGGCGCTTCAATTATTCGTTTTCACATCAGGGAAAGCATCTGGCAGGTTTTGGATCACCAAGGGTTTTATGATCCCGTGGTAAATAATGTTATTGTGCATTCTGCGAGTCCCTTACATTGATAATTGCCGACTAAATGAAGTCGGCGCGAGGTTCAGTTACTGTTACAATTTCGATGCTTCCCAATGATCGAGCACACAGTATTTATAAGATACGAGATGAACAACGAAAAGTTAAAATAAGGAAACAAAAATCTCACCGTTAGGCATATTCTGTGACATCTTCGATCTTGAAAACAAGGGCTTGTCACGAACAGAGTTGCAAATAATAAAGCTAGCTGAAAAGGAAGCTGATTATTAAGGCTCTGAGGCGAAGTGATGAATTTATTTATGTTTTCCTGCACGGACATGTAATTTGCATTTGTAATATGCAGTAGCCCTGTTGTTGGAACATTTGTTTGAAAACTAAACGTAAGAAACACAAAACATATGGAAAAAGAATTCCGGAATTAACGTAGGGTGCCGTTTAGAGGCTCTCATTTCACTGTTGATTGTTTTGAGATTCTTAAAACGCGCAAATCTTTAATTAAGACGATTTAAAATCGGCTATCTGATTTCCGCTAACTGCCTTCATTCTTTCAAAATATAACGTCGCATAACCCTAAGGACTACTATTTTGTATATTTGAAAGGATTATTTGGGTGATACCATTTAAACTGATATTTAAACTGATATTTAAACTCACAAAATCGTTTCCAAGAACAAAACATATAACCTCTTCAGAGAAATGAATATTTGTTCAATAATTCACACGTTAGGTAAACAAAACAGAAGAGCGGAAGCGCTAATAGTATTTCTTTCAGACGAAAATTATGACACGGCCTTGATTTTCTTCTTTTTTCATTAAATAAATTGAATAAACTAATCACGAATCGAAATTTTTGTAATTTATTTCGTGACATCCCCTATGAAATTTAACAACGATTTATTTAAGAACTTATACGAGCTTTTGTCTTCCAAAAAATGAGGGAAATTACCCTCGAATTACAGGTGTTTATACAGGTGGAGTTTCTCTCGGCACCAGACTTACGCCGCCAAGAGGAGAAAGTTGACCACATAAAGTCCATTAGTAAAGAGATGGTTGGGGTGGTGGGGTGGGGTGGGGATAAACCAAAAATATTTCAATAATTCAGAAGGGAAAAAGATATCATCGCCCAAAGAAAAAAACAACAACAACAACAAACCAACAAAAATAGGAACAGAAACAAATAACTTCATGTTCCATAATCCCCACTCCACCCCTTACTTTTCCAAGGGGCCGACCATTTAACTGTTGAGGGGGAGGGGTGGATGATTTCTGGTCATCAAGACATTTTTTATCTAGCAATCTGCTGGGCAGGATATTTTTTCCGTTCTAAATGCTCTTTTTTTTTCTTTTACATTTGGGCTGCATGCAATTTTTTTCTTCCAACAAGCGCTTGCAGGAAATTGTTTTCAAAATCACCCCCCTCCCCCTCGAGTTAAATGGTTGGCCCCTAACTAAACGATGTCTAAGCTGTCAAGATTATCACCACACAAACAAGACATAGACCTTTATTCACGTTACGTGACTTTTATTAAACAACGATGACACAATTGTATTTCTAATTTTTTCAACTACACCAAGACTAGAAGACTAATTAAGAAGACTTCCTCGATGACTAGAAAAACATTTGGACGAGAAGGAATTACGAACTTAAGCAAACGCAACGATTCCAAGAAATCAAATGCAAGCAAAGGCTGGCGCGGAAAATAACTCGCGCGACACAAACCAAGACGGGCACCTTCTCTTTGCTGATCGCCTGCCTAAACTATTCTTTTGTTCAAATTGAACACTAATTCATACTTAACGTTTATCCTAGCCAAGCTAACCAAAACATGTGTTTGCTGAGCTCGTAATTCCTCGAAAACAGTATTGCTCTCTAGCCAACAGGTTATTTCCAGCACAGAGTTGATATTTCCAGCCTGTAAAGCGAGCACATCTAACGTTTGATCCAAATAAGCCCACTGTAATTTTAAGACAGCTCTTTAAGACTGCTTGGTGACGTCAGGGCTTCCGAAGTGCTAACGAATACCCGAGCTTCTATCGATAAGCCCTGTTTCTACAGAGTTGACGTATAGAACTTCACTTGTTTTACAGGCTGAGTCTGGAAGTAAGAAGATGATTTAATGACCCAATTGAAACGAAAACATTTGACCAGTCATAAAATTAAGGTGGCCAGCCTTGTGAAGAGGATTTTAAGTAATACACGGAGAAAAAAAGTTTATCCTCAGCCATCGTCTCCAAATTAGAGTAAAATTTTACTCATCAAAGAAGAGTTCGTTCAATTCCAAATTCCTCCCCAAGGAAATGGTGAGCTACTTACGAACAGGTCTTTCGTAACATTTTCTTTACAAGAAACCTAATTACAATACCAGAAACCAAAATCTGTACAAGAGAAAAAAATACAGAAAAAGGCCCTTTGGAAACTATCAAAGAAATATAGTTTGGAAACTATAAACAATTTAGATACCATACTATTAGAAAAATTCTGTAACATAAATAATTCTTTTGCTAATATTAATGTTCTGTTTCTTTTTAACATGAACAAAACAGTCCTAATAATCAGATCAGTCAACATCTAAGTTTGTTTTAAGCCAACTTGCTCATACAAACTGCTACAAACAAAACCTCGGTCATACCAAAAAATCATCAATAATCTGACTATAACAGAACGTTTGATGTAAGACTATGAAAAATAGAAGTGGGGAGTTAATCAGGGTTATTCACAAGGCTTGAAAAATTAATAAAGGTTTGCCTCTGGGCAGTGTAATCTTAGTATTTTTCCTCACCGATCTCTGCCGATTTATTTTCTAACAAATTGGAAAATTTTCATTTTAACTAACTGGTAGTGACTAGATTACTTTACAAGTATTTAATTTTTAACTTATTTTTACTGACAAAAACTCCTTCTGCTCTCATTCAATACTAACTTCAATGCTACAAGTGTTTTCTCACCACTGTTGTCTAGAATGCAAAAATGTTACTAACTAATCAGCACTGGCTGAAACAAAGTTCCTAGCAATTCTCATGAGCAAGTTGGTCTGTGGAGGTAAATACTTAGTCTCAATGGTGCACACAAATTACGAGCCTGCTACTTCAGGATGCCTTCGCCCACCATTCTCCCGTTCCTGAAGGGTTACAAGCTTCTCAAAGCATGCATAACACACTCTGACTGGGTCATAAAGTTGTTCGTCTGGTAGCGGTAATCTCTTCTCAGAACATGTGCCACAAAACACTAGACCACAGTTCCTAGGGAAAAAAATGACTAGTTGATAAAAAAGGTCCTGTATACTGCAAATCTATATCATATTATGAAGCAAATTGCAATTGGGTGTGGTAGTACTCATAACAGCATTCACAACAAATAAGAGAATCACAAGGAGCCCATAAGTCCTCAGAGTAAAAAAAAGGCCAACTAACCAATGGACAGGAAAACCCCAACAATTGGTTTTACATCTGATTGGTTGGCAGATGTGGCAGTGAGTTTTGAAATGTGGGGGGAGGGGTGTGGGGGAGGGGGCAGAGGGAAAGGGATATCTTTCACCTAAGCATGCGCATACAACTCCAATTTTCCAAAATGTCCTTCATGTTGTTTGTTAGCACAAACAAATGTCTGTGCAGTCTATGCAATTTCAAACGTGTCCACAATGGATCTGTGACTTACTTTCGTTTTTCCCCTGCACAGTCTAAACTCTTTCAGCTTAGTATTTGATTGGGTTCCGGAGACAAAATTAAATCATGTCTAATTTCCTAGATGTGCTGTCTGGTTTAAAACAGTTTTACAACATATTAATTTGCCAGGTGCTGATGTAAGGATTTGGGAAAAGATCACAAGATTGAATATTTGGCCATTGTTTGTGCTGTATGCAGATATTTTTTGGCACCAAAGTGTGGAGGGGGGGGGGGGGGCTATGGCCTCCTCTGCCCTGTTGCCTAAGGGGGTAGAGGAACCAATATAATCCTGCATCACTTTTCACATTCAAATGACTAAATGAATGTGTTATTTTCATTCTTATCTACAGCTCAGTATTATTTACTGAGTTTTAACTTTGGTCAGACAAGAGTGCTCTCATCATCTGGTCATACCAGCTCCCATACATTTAAAAAGAACTCTGCATTAATCATAAATGCATTGAACTACAGTCAGCTGCAAAATGCATATTCAAAGACAACAGCTCCATAACTACCACACATACCTACAATGATGTTTTCTGTTTGCCATCCAGAACTGTGTATCACAGTTAGCACAGCTGGTAGCAGCATGATCTGGGACCCAAAGTGTGGGCTGGGCCTCATTCTCATCCACTTGGATCCAACTTCCCTCATCAGCACTGCCAAGGGACAGAGGGGGTTGGTCCCCACTAACATTTGACTCTGGTAAAGAGCACTGCAAGTGAATTAGAGGAACATAGGAGTCAGACAGATCATTTATCAAACAAACATATATGCACAATGTTTGAGAAATAAACCAGATTTCAACTGGGGCTCATTCATTCGGCAGCACTTCACTCCGTGTATTAGCAATAACTGGAAGTTGAAGGGTTGTCACCTTTTTCCTATTATCTAATTATGTATTCAACTAAATTAGTCTTTCTACCTTCGACAACATTTTTAGAAGGGACAGAATTTTCTTTCAAAAGTGATGCCAAGAGGACTTATTTGCATATACTCAAAGGAGAAACAATTATGCCCGCCATTGTGAAAGGAATCTACCGGTATTGCACTTAGTATTGTTAATGCTCAAAATGTAATTTCTTGGCTCTACATACCACTTCATCTGCAAGGTCGCTAGTCTGTCCCGACAGACATGTACCTCTTTCTCCTACAGCAGCCTGCCTGCTCTGCGTATCCAAAAGTTTTCTCTGTAATGACTCAATTTTAGCTTGATGAGCCATTTCAATCTGCCGTAGCCTATCCTGGACTGGATCAACAATGTGTGTCAAACCATCTACATCCAGATATCTTGTAAAGAGCTCAGATGAACTTGGTCGTAGTGTTGTTGTACTTGGTATTGTTTCTTGAACACTGCTGGTAAGTGTTGACTGACTAGATGAACTGGAGGGTGGAAGCCCACTTTCTGTACATTCCTTTATCTCTTCATCGCAAGAAATATTTGCAGAACATTTTGAATGGTCCTCTATCATACACTTGGATTCATGAGATTCTTGTGGTTGCATATCATCCACTGAATTTATTTCTCCAGCTGAGAAAACTTCTTCATTGGTCTCACCAGCCAAAAGTTTTTCTGACAAGGAATTTTCTCCATTGTCACTGATAGCCTCATCATTTGGCTCAAGAATGACTGTAGCTGTACTACTAGACATGCTGCTTTCAATTTCACTAACACAGTCTTCACATGAAACAACTCCAGCTGCACATGAATCTGTAGTGCTAAGATAAATACTTTTAGAATCACACGACTCTGAGTCACTAATGTCCTTTGTTGTTGATTTACTCTCAGAAAGATTCTGTGATAAGGTTGTCCTACAGTTGTGACAACTCTTGGATTTGACAGCTTTGTCTACACCTCCAAACTCTTTACTATCATTTTGAAGTCCTTCCTGATTTTCAAAACAGTCTTTACATATTAGACTTCCATCAGATTTTGACTCAGAGATGTGAGTGGTTGCTAAGAGTCTTTCATCTTGCTCCATACTATTGGGAAAAACAGGTGAAACAGGGGTGACGCATGCACTGCTCACAGAGTCCCCATAGTCACTGGTGTCGTTACTCTCCATAAAGGACTCTGCATAAGGCGTGGGGAGTGCTGTATACACAGTTGACCACAACTGTAAGCTGCGAGGTTCATGGGAAGCTTGAAGAATCTAATTGATCGGAATTATAAGTCATAATCAGCTTCAAATCTCATATGTGCCTCAAAATAAATCAACAACAAAACAGAGATAGAGTATAACTTTCACTGTAGCAAAGAAACTTAATAATTCTGAAACTTTTCTGAAAGATGGTCTTGGAAAATCACTTAGTTGGTGAAAAATTTTTCACATATGTGTCAAGTCATGTAGAAAAGCATGTCAAGTACATGGCACATACAAAAAATTTTCATTCCACACTTTACCTGTTCAGACAAAGAGGAGTATAAGTAGTTCTTCAACTCCTTTCGTCTCAATTTTAGGAAAGACCAAACTGAGAATGTTCTCCTGGGAACATTTCCTTTAAGGCGTTCATTTTCACTGTTGCAGAGGAACGTTCCAAATAAACAGGAATACACATGGTGGGCCAACTTTACCTGAAGAAAAGGTACATAAAGGAAATATTCTTAATGCTTAACTCCCAGAAGTGATTAACATGTAACTTCTCCCTAAAACATCTACACATCATCCAGCAAACAGGTAATGAGAATACTCAAAACTTATCAAGCCGAAGTTGTTATCTTCATCCAATACCAAACTACTTACAAGGAAATGTGTAGCAGCTAAAGGGGAGAATTAACAATCAGATCTTGGGGGGGAGGGTCAAAACAGATAACATGCCAGAAATTACACCAAGATCTGAAAAAAGTTGTTCATTTTGGAAAATAACACAGCAAGATCATTAAAAAACATCTCAGGACCACTCAGTAAGAATTGAATATGTTTTGCTGGCTATTTGAATAACCTGTTTAACCTCAGCTGAATAGAGGGAAAAATTCTTATAAGTGCTTCATTATGCCACCCATCGGGTTACCACCATGTGAATAGCAAAAGATTTTAGCTTTAATTTGCAGTGTGAATTACCTATTTGTCAACCTGTGTTCAGCGATCATGTAGCGAATTGTAATGTTTTTCTTCATGTTTGCACAATGGCAACATTGGAAAACTTGAGTACAGAGTACAGTTCTAAGGAGAGTACTGAGATAACTAGGAGTTGCCAGATTTAACCTTACCAAAAAGGTTTCATTAAACTCAAATGAGCAAGGAAACTGCCTAGTGAGTTGGTGCACACAATCAAGCCACTGAAGGAACACAGGGCATCTTTGGTTCTCATCAAGATTGTGTCCATGGCCACACCTATCAGCAAAACGATGGCCAAACTCCAGCCACTCACGTGTCACCAATACCTGAAAGCCCTACAAGGAAAGAAAACAAGATCATGCCTAAGAATACTCCTTGCAAAGATCACCATGGTGAAGGATAATGACACTCCAATGAAAAATTAAGATATCAATCACAAGTCGTTTCTAACAGTGGGTTAAAAGCAAAATTGAAGTGAGATCTTTTTGGGCAAGGCCTGTTACAGACATTGTTAGTTAAATCTGCAAAATCTCATGCCTTTCTGTTAAACAATCAATTTTCTTCTCTATTTTTGGTTATTACAGATTTTGTACCTTTTAGAAATGCTCTAAAAAAAGAGCTAACAAGTGGAGTTCAATATTCACCCTAAGATACTCATGTTCTAAGCATAAGAAAAATTGAAATCACTGTTTTTAGGAATCTGAATGCCTGCTCTTTTAAAATTAGGTTTACTGCAAACAAACCATCATCTTGAATTTAACAAACACAATCTACACCAAAAGTAAGGGGAATTTCTAAAGGATCTCAATCTGCTTGGAGTCTCTCTCAAGCAAAACTTGAACTTTCATATTATACAATTTCAGTTAAAGCAATTTTTTTCTAATTGCAGTTCCCAACTGAATTTAAAGACATCTTTTTTAGGTTCACTTTCACCTTGAGTGGTACTAAATTCATAATTTCAACCTTTCAAAGATTTTATTGAGTTTCTGTCCTGATGTTTTTTACCTCAATTGTCCTGTAATAAGGGTCCAACATTAGCTCTGCCAGAGCAACAATCTGAGTGGTCCTGTCCCAGCCATCACTGCAGTGAACCACAACAGGTCTCTGCTCTTTGTGAATAGCATTCACAACAGTGTTGGTTGCCTTTAGCAAGAGTGAAATGTGGTGGAGCCACTGTGTCTTTTCCACACTGGACCACCAACTAAAGAGAATGCAAATATTTCAGTTAGATTTTACTATAACATCTATATCAGCTAACAAATGACAAGAAAATAATTTAATTTCTTTAATTTCTCCTTACAATATCACCCTTGAATCAAAAGGTAAGGTCATGAGAAGAGAGGAAATGATCACAAATTGAAGAAGCTCCTGATTGTTTATCAAATTATCTTTTTCAGTACCATAGGGGTTGTAATGGGAATAGTGTGGAGAATATGAAGGCTACTGCCAGGGCATAAAGGGTTTAATGACTTACTTGGGATTTTCTCTTGGACCTGAGCATAACATTCTTAGACTATGGAAGCTCTTTCTTATACTGTGGATGTTTGCCAAATTCATAAACAACACTTCACAACCTGGGTAGTACTCTATTAGAAAAAGGGTAAATTATAGTCAATATGAGAAGATGTGAATAATAAATATATCACCCAACTTAAAATAAATCAAGCCTGCTTTCTGCTAACTAGCATTTATTTATATGTTTAAATTTGCTTTTTCTAGCTCTTCACAATGTGTTATGCATTAACCAAGAATATAACCTTTTATACTGAAAACAAGTCAATGATGAAATCTGATTATGTAGATGATTTGACAGATAATTTCTGGTGCAGTGTACTGTCATCAAAAAGTATCCCTAGAAGGTCTCCTGGCCGATGCATATTTACATGTCAGTGTGAATGGGATTTAAACCCTTTGACTCCCTGAAGTAATTGACAGGTAACTTCTCATTAATGCGTGGGTATATTAATAAACAAACATGTGATAAGAATATACACTGTTATCAGTTAGGGAGTGATTCCTGGATTTGATTAAATTCTATTAAATAATCTACAGGCAAATCCTAAGAAGCAAGGAGGGGGAATTGCTGATCAAATCAAACTTACCCTCACACTCACAGCCTCCTCCCTTGGCCCTGTTGACCACTGCGGCTGAATAGGCCCTGGCATCTATTATCAGAACCTTGCGCTGTCCAATGGCATCATTTGCTGCAACATCTTTACCCTCACCATCATTATCATCATCACTACTATCATGGACTACATCCCCATTGGGAATGGCATCTGTGTGACCATTTGTGTGATGATCCTTCAAACCCATCTCTTTAATGAGTTGCTTCTTTAAAGAAGCAGACACTGACTCTGTAGCACAAGCTATTCCTAAGGCATGAAGAAGGCTCTCATCCTCTTGACTTCGCCAACCAAACCAACCGACCTCTGGCTGACTACAGCGAGCTATAACAGCTCCATTGGTCATGTGCCTGTGGGGTGAGGAAAAACTGCACATAAATTGCCTGTCTGTGAAAACACACTTATAGAATAGTTAACGCCATGTTATCTTGGTAATTGTGAAGAAGAGCTCCCCAAAAAACCTGTCGGCCGACTGTCGGCCGACTGTCGGCCGACAGTTGACCGACAGGCGGCCGACAGTCTACCGACAGGTTAAGAAAAAAGAAAAATTGTGTAAAAAACGAACAGTTAA